ACATTACAACAGTTGTTTGCTAGTATAATTATGGACAAAATTAAACCTTACCTAAAAGCATAGCCAATGCATTGTTCAGATGACAAGGTAGATATTACTAAACTGATCTTGTACTTGCCAAACAGCTGTACAAAATAAAAGTACTCTTTTGTCCTTTTTTTTTCTTATCTCCTATCTGTTTGAAAATACACTTTAAAAAAGGCATTAGACATTGCAGATGTTCATGACAAGATCTACACAAAGCCAGTGGAGTGTCCATTCCATTCACAGTGGGACTTGCACTATGTGCAGGAGTCTTCAGCAAGACTCCTGCAAAAATAGCAAATAGTTTTCATGGTATACTTATATCAAAAAGATGATGTTTCTATACTTGTACAAGGCTGTATGCTAGCTTGCACAACAAATCAATCTTTATGAAGGGCATAATGCCAGTATTTGTCTTGTATATTGGCTTCAAATCACTGAGTATGCAATAGTGCAGGCTCTGGATTTTGTTAAAGATTTATTATATAATTTTGTTTTCACTAACTTTAATAAAAAGACTTACAAGCTAAAACTATGGATTAATATTTTCAAAACTAGCATCTTCAATTCACAGATGAAAGAAATTTGCTGTTTACTGAAAACACAAAATGTAACACACTGAAAATAAACTTATTTGTGTCAAGTAGTGCATTTTTTGACTAGTCAGAGTCTCTACAGGATGATTCAAGGAACAAAATTACTGAGCCCTGTTGAAGACACCAAAGCAAAGCTCTGAACTGTAGCCTTCCTTATTAAAGCTGCCTGTATGTTCCAATAGAATTTCTAATGGACAATTTAGAGGAACTCTTCATATGGAAAAAGTGAAGGAAAGAAACAGGGTGAAAGATGAGAGAATACAGGAGCATCTGGAGTGGAAGTCCTGGGATTGATCTTATCATGGCATATGCACCTCAACCACCTACATATGTTCAGTTCAGGTTGTGTATCCTAAAGACCCAAAACTACAAAGAAGGAAGATAGAATAAGAAAGAAAACTGAAAGAGAAAAGGATTATAAAAGTTGAACAAGAGAACAAAAAAAGCAGAACACATAAATTAAGGGTAGGCAGCATGAAGGTTATTTTAAATTAACAATTTAGAAGCAGATGCTTATTCTAGACAAGGCCCAAGACTCACCCAGAGTGCTTAGAGTTAACGTACACCATGTCCATTAAGTGGCTGGCATTTCAGAAGAAAGAGTGAGAGATTGCCAATAAGACGTACATAATAACCACTATTTTCCCTGATCTATTTAGCTTGATGCTGACTTCTATTCTGAAGTACGACCTTTGAGCACCAATATCCCTAGCAAAACTCACCTTTAATTTTTAACTCTGTCTCATTACCCACAGAAATACCTGTTTCCCTTTGAATCCTGTGTGGCTCTTACCTTCCATTATATGTTGTGGTATTAAACACCACACGGTAACTGTTCAACTTGCAAGAAATCCTCTAAGTAAGTTTGTTGTCCATTCAAAGTTGAAAGAAGGAGATGACTAATAAGAGGACAGGTTTTAAAAGTTATTGTAGTCCACAGGCATGCTGTGCAATAGCATTCCTCTTAGCATCACTTTATGCTCTCATTTTGGGTGCAGTTTAGTTTTTTATCACTGACTTCCCTGCTTAGAAGGAGATCCACCCATATTCCCCAAAAGATGCTGATATCCAGGCACAGTCAGCATTTTTTAGTTTTTAAAATGAAATAAGAAGTACTGCTTTTTATCACAGTAAACGATCTTAAAATACATCCTGAACGTTGTGATGCATAGAGATTATACCTAAAATGTTTTGCTAGACATTTTCAGCATCTGTTCCCAGGTGTTTGTGTGGTATTTGTGTACATATTGTCCCTCATGTTTATGAAGAATTTTACAATTGACGATTAATGCAGGCATGGCTCTCCTTACTCTCCTCCTTTCCCCTGAAATATAGATGAAAGTTTATTGTACTATTGTTGTGGTTTAAGCCCAGCCAGCAACTCAGGACCATGCAGCCACTCACTCATTCCCCCCAGTTCTTCCTCTCCCCACTCCCAGAGGGATGGGGAGAAGAATCGGAGGAATGTAACTCCCACGTGTTGAGATAACAGCACTCCAGTAACTAAGGTATAATGCAAACCACTGCTGCTACCAATAATAATGATAACGGAAATAACAAGGGGAGAGAATACAACTGCTCGCCACCCACTGACTGATACCCAGCCCGACCCGAGCAGCAATCTGAGCCTTCCGGGTAACTCCCCCCAGTTTATATACTGGGCATGACGTGCTGTGGTATGGAATATCCCTTTGGCCAGTTTGGGTCAGGTGTCCTGTCTCTGCTTCCTCCTGGCTTCTCCTCTTCCCTGGCAGAGCATGAGACTGAGAAAGTCGTTGGTCGGAGTGAACATTATTTAGCAACAACTAAAAACATCGGTGTTATCAGCGTTGTCCCCAGACTGAAAGTCAAAACCACAGCCCTGCACCAGCTACTAATAAGGAGAAAAAATGACTGCTGTAGCTGAACCCAGGACAACTATCCACTAAATTGCTTGCATTAAATATATTTGTGCCATCATCTTCTTGGTCTGTAGGATTTCATCCCATTACCTGGAGCAATTCCCAGTTATTTGGTGAATGGCCAGAGGCTGGGGGTTGGGGGGGGGAGAGGGAGAGGGGGAAATTTAGAGAAAGGGCATTTTTGCCCCACATGGTAAGCCATAAACAAAAGTTGCTTAAAATAATTCAGAGATGGAAATTTATCTATATCACATTGCATAATCTGGCTCCATCTTTGAGGGCCAAGAAAGACAGATCTACAAAATCTGGGCTGAAGATTCCATGTAAAGTTTAGCACAGCAAGTAGTTAATTCCACTGTTGTGAATATACTTCATCCTGCTATTTTAAGTCTCTGCAACATAAAAGACTCATTTGCAGGTACAGTCTTGGAGAGCCAGCAATTTAAGACACCACAATAATGTCACTTGTGTTGGGGGAGGTTAAAAGGAGGATTAAAAGCAGTCAGGCATGATACATTAAATGAATCCATGACTAACGGGGTGTAACAGCAAAGAGTTTTATTCTTTTCAACAGAATAGATCCCTAGGGCTGGAAGTATTAGTCCACTGTGCCTTTATCACCTTGGAATTTTTATAGTTATTTTTGATGAATTCACAATTTTGTAAAGACTCTTTCGACATTATGCCAATTTTCACTTTTAATTAAAACCATAAATAACCTTAATTCTGCATTAAAAGGTTTATTGTTTCCTACTTATTATTACTGCCAGGAAATATTTCAAATAGCAGAGCATGATGTTAGTTAGCAATTATAAGTTCATAAAGGTTCAGTAACTATGTGGTACCTTGTAAACATTGTACTTTGCAAATTTTATCCATGCTTAAAGTATCTGGCTTGATAGAAGCCACAACTTTTCTTTTCTTTTTCTGGTGGTTTGGCTTATTTCCCCTTCCATATATCAACATCTCACAGGTGACCAATGCACATAAATAAATCCTTATCAAACAGGGATGAGAAATAAGCAATTTTAAGTCTAGAATGTGCCCACAGAGAGCCAAGCAAGGAGTAAAAAGGGCCAGGACTGGCACATAAGGAGTGGAAAATAAGTAAAGTGAAATAGTGAATAAAACGCAGGAAGAAAAATCCCAGAGTGTATTGCAATCTGGCATAATGAGAGAAGGGAGATAACACATTATTTCACTTTCAATGACAGTAATGTTACAGTGCAGTTTAATAGCTATATTCAGGTCCATTTATGTCAGTTTTAGCTGACGCATCACACACAAATTTTGCAGAATGCAAAGTCTTGGTTGGCATTTACTTTACATGCCTGTAAAAGACAAGTGCCTGGGTAGCTGAGTTGCCCTCCTCAGATATGCAGGACAGGGCTCACAGACCTCCTTTGGTAGTCCTGCCTGAGGGAAGCATGAACAGGAGCAAGGTAGCCAAAGCACTGCTTACTAAGGTGAAAATTAATGCTCAGTTACCTCGTCTCTGATACAGGAGCGGGCACTCATGAGTTTAAAAGAAATTCCTCAAGATTACTACAGTGCAGTTTCTCAGAGGCTGACATGGAGGTCTCTGCTGCCATGTCTTGCTTCAAGAAACCACTGAATCAAAACGTACTCTTTCAATTTGTATAATGCAGCCTTAAAAACTGCCACTTACTGCTTCCAATGCTGTACAGGTGTTTTGCAACTTTCTACAAATGGTTGTGCATTTAACTTTAAAACTTCTGAACTATAACTTGTTTTAAATAGGGCTGTCTCAAAGTTTTGTCTATCCCTAAACCAGTTCATGCATGTTCCCCTTTTACCAGGACCAATTTCCTTTAAAATGAAAGGTTCAATTTTTATCCTCAATGATCTAAACAATCTAATGAAATATCACCAGTGATTAATAGGACATATAATGAAAAATGCTCAGGAAGAGAAATCATTCCCTTAGGTCACAACTCAGCTCTTAAAAGATGTGCTTATACATAAACAACTGCTGACTCATGGACTTGACATCCACAGGGAACCAGTGTTGTGAAATGTCTTGGTATTTGGAAGTGTCTGGCATACGTAAATATAATTTACACCTTAATATCAAATACTGCCTATGTGCCCTCAGAATCCATCCCTACATCTGCGACTGGCTATGTAAACTGGATTTTTTATGACTATGTACTTACAGACTGGCAGAACTTTAAAAACTTTAAAAAAAAAGTATGTTTACAAAAATTATTTTTTATTTGCCTCATTATGTATGTTTAGTGATTAATCATCACATCAGAAAATAAAAAGCATTAAAGTAGGCAGCCTCATTAAGTCAGTATCATTTATATAAAACCCATATCTACTATTTCCCATTAATAGTTTTTCTATCAACAGTCTGACGTCAGCACAGGTACTTGAAGATGCATTAAACAGCTAATTTTAGAACACTGACTTCTCCACACAAGCTTTACACCAGTCAGCACAGTAGAAAATTTACCTTTTTCCCCACTTGTTGGTCTTTGGAAGAATGGGCTTTCACATGCTTTCTTAGGGAACTTGGATCTGTGTATCGTTTTGTACATCCTGGAATCTGACATGCATAAGGTTTCTAAGTCAAAAAGAAAGAAGATAAAGCAGCTGTTATATCACAGATTATTTTAACTCCAGATAATTCTTTTTGAACCTTGGGATGCTGTAAGCCACATTACTACAGAGCACAAATGTTGTATGTTATTATAAGCAGAATGCTCAGTAATTTATTAGAAAGGGAAAGGAGGAAAGTGAGGCTTATAAGAAAGACAAACCAAAGGAAAGCTTTCATTATGGCACCTGTCATTGTTACCTCTTTTTCAGTAATCAGTACAATAAATATTGCTAGTTATACTCACAATTCTTCCACCCTCAGAGCCATCTTTGACTTAATCAGAAATTACATTCTTTAGAGAATCAGGTAAAGAAAGTGCAGTAAAGGCCCAGAGAGACTGTTTAGGATTATAGAAGAATCTGCTTCAGAGAAGAACAAGAAGAAAAAATGTTAGTTTACTACATGACAAAGAGAGCAAGCAAAAACCAAAGCAAGCACTGAAGATTGAAGTTTCAAAAATATTACATACAAAAATACAAATTTTAACGTGAAGTACACGACAAACTCTTTTAGCTCACATTTTCTAATAACACGTCATTTTAGAAAGATTCCTGTTCTGTAATACTTTTATATTTTTCTTAAAGCCCAACACATCTAACTCACCAAATAAATATAAATCTCTGTAAGTATCTCCTTCTGCCTAGTCTAACCCGTCCATTTTCCCTGAAGACTTGTAGGTTCACAATACATAGTATTAAATGAACTTCAGGTCCAACGGTTTGCTGAAACCAGCTATTCTGCAATTTAGACATTTACATTTCACAAAGCATTTCCGTAAACACCTGTACAAATGATTAACTTACCAGCCATACTATCTACTATTTGAAATGGATCATTTAAGTTTTGTGACTGCCATTTTATTCAAATGGCATTGTTCTCATTTTCTTTCTGGACTTCTGCTCTTTGGAAACCGCTTGTCTCTGACAAAACATCATCTTTGTTATGAAACAAAAGGTTTTAAACAAATCTCAGCTGGGACTCAAATTCACAAGCAACATTTGTTGGAATGAAAATTTTTAGATTTACAAAATTATTGTTCCTCTCTTGACTTTTCTGGTACATGGCTCAGCCTCAAGTTTAACTGAGTTTTTGTCAGAGAATAGTTGTTATTATCACGGATGGCTTCTGTGTCTTTTCATAGTGACTTTAGGTTTCCTAAAGACCATCTAAGTGGGATAAATTTACTGCCTCTGCCTGAGGCAAAGCCTATGGAGCTGCGGCCTATTTATCAACTAGTTTGGCCCATCTTCATCCATGCTTACATTATTGTGTCACTTCTGAAACACCTTAATCAGCCTCACCAGACACTTCTGCCTCCTATCTATCTCTAAGGTTATGGGGCTACCTACTGACACCAAGCTGGAGGAAAGGAGCATACTATCTAATGTATGGGAGACTGCAATGTGACTTCTGTTTCCTTACAGTGTCCACATGTGTCCGCTGGTGCTTGGCACGGTCGCTGGAGTTGCTGAAGGCTTTCTGGCAGCCAGGGTGCTGACAAAGGTACGGCTTTTCACCCGTATGGCTCCTTAAGTGAATTTTGAGATTTTCTAGTCTGGAAAAGGCTTTCTTGCAGCCCTCAAACTAGAAAAGAGAAAGAAAAAACACACTCAGGAAACTGCAACAGCAAACACTGAGCAACAGGCTGAAAGGGCTTGCAGAGACCTCCAGCCTGCTATGGCTGGATGCCCCTCTAGAGCTGAGAAAGCCTGGCTTCTCAGTGTGGGTGTTGTTGCAGGGTTTGAACCATTTAGATCATAAGAATGTATTTATCCTCCCTGCACATGACTGAATGAGGAAACTATATCCCACTCCTATCTTACATATGGGACATTGAGACCCAAAGAGACTGGTCAGCTCAGAGAGATGCACTTCTCAGTCTACCTGGGAAACACAGCCCTAGCTGATTTTCCCAATAGCAGACAGAAAGCAAAATGATAACTGTGAGGTTCCCAAGTCCTGTGCTAGCTACCCTTATCCCAGGTCTGGGCTTGTAGGATATTAGCAACTGAGCTGCATCCGTCAGTAGCAACCCAACCTGCTGAGCAACAATAAAATCATGCAGAGAAATGTCAGTCTGCTCTACCTTGCTGATGGTGATTCAAGAGGTAAAATGATTTCTAGAATATTTTAAAATATATATATCTTGGAAATAAAACCAGGAAATAAATAATATGAATTCTTTTCTATTGTATTTTTGCCAATGTTTATATGAGCAGAAAACCAGTTCTTCATCTATCATGATCCCATAGTATACTTTATCCTAAGGGAAACTAAAACCCATCAGTTCTATTTAACACCAGCATTTTTATGTATATTTCCTTTAAATTAGACTTGAATATTTATGAAAATTAGTTAGAAGTATAGGCTTTTTTAATTCAATCAGTTAAGATCCGTTAATCTCATTAGTTTCAGCTGCTGCATATCCTACTGTGCAGCATCCAAAGCACGCAGTGTATAACATGCTAGTTTGCAGTTATTGTACACTTACAAAAGTAATAGTGCATTAACAAAGATGTCAAACATTTCTAATACTAACAAAAATTTTTCAATAATGATTGAATAATACAAATAAATTTTATAATATATTATTCAGTGTGTGTATGTTTACAAAAGCACAGGTAGGAAAACTGACAGAATTCTGATTACAATTAGGTTGGCTTTCATGCAAAACTGTAACACCTTCAAAAAAGAGTAAAAAAAGGATATAAATCTTTCATCACTTAAATACCACAGTTTTTTAATTAATGCAAGAGAGACAACTTTGAAGAATAAAGTGTAATACACATATACCTATATGAATATATACAATAGCAATATTAAAATTAAGCTTAAGAAATTAAGATTGAGAAAGGGATGAACCACTCCCATCTATATCATAAGTGCAATTTTATTATTCACACACCCCAAGTTCAGAAAATTTCTCAATCTACAAAGCATTTTTATTTATATCCCATCCCTTTAAACAAAGCAAACCTACAGTGCCTTTCAGATTAACCAGTTTTGATCACTGATTATTAATTTCTGTTTGTACATTTAGTGTTGCCTTTATGAAGGTTTAGTACACAAGCAAAACATTGTTGCAAGTGTAAACATTTTTTACTTTTAGGAAACTATTATTAGAAAATATTCCAGGATACATAAATAAAAAATTTAGACAGATATCTCTTACAATTGCCTGGATAAAAATACCACATTTTATTAGGAAAAAGTAAAGAGTGGAGAAAGCATAAAACACAAGAGAGCTGAAAGACTGATATAACAAATGGCCTTTGGAAACTGAAACCATTCAAGAGCAGCTAGACTAAAATAACAAAGAAACCTACTGATTAGCCCATCTTATGTGGACAAGTTGTTATTTCTTACTGAATTCATAAAAGAACAACCATCCATTCTAATGAGAGTAACTGGGCTGCATGTAAGTATGGAATAAATTGTAGCATCTCAAGCAACCTTCAATTTTATAAAATAAAACTCAGCCCAGTTAAAAGGTTTGTACACAAGGCCCTCCATTTTGTTTATTTCACAAGTTACCAAACATTGAAACTTCAAGCATGCAAACAAAATTAAATATGTGTAGATAATTGTTTTACGATTGCAAAATTAGTGTTGAATTTAACTGGTAAAAAAAGTTAAACTAAACAGAACTGTTATCTTACATATTTAAAAATTGTGATTTCTGAAAAGTCCTGCATTGCTGATCATAACTTAGAAGCAGAGAAAATATTCTGAAGTTCTCTCTCTCCTGCACAGCCCTAAGTTACTCTGTCATATTCACAAGGCTGTACGTAGTTCTGTATTGCAGAAAAGGTCATTCATTCTAGCAAAATACAGAAACTAGAAGCCTGTATTATTAGAAAGACCATCAGAAAACAACAGTTAATGAATGTTTACATTAAAAGCCAGACTTCTGAAGCCTCAGGAGTCTCTGATGCTTAAGACCAAATAAATGAAAAGGCATTATTTCCAAAAATGCAGAACATACATTCTTTCCTGATAACCAGATCTCAACAAAATATTCCAGACAAGACATGATTACCTATGGGGGGAAAAAAGTCAGGTAGATGGTAGTGAAATGGAATTCTTCATAGTTTCTAAGTTCTTAACTGTGGTAAAGAGGAGTATGCAACACCTTTATTACAAGTAGTCACTTAAGTACATGGCATGCATTTAGCAATCTGAAGTTTAACATTCCTAAACATACTCCTGATTAAACCAGGTTCTTTGGAAGTATTACATAGAATTAATTATGTAATGTTTTCCTAAACTGCAATACAGAAATTATAGTTATGGAGCTTTTATTTTTACAGTGGCATAAAACCTGAAACTGCAAAGTAGGTCATAAAGACAATTTCCTCTCTCTACTTCCTAAACTTGGCAGTTTTTTTTAAAACATCCATATTTACTTTTTCTTTTTATAAGAATAATTGTCAAAAGCAAGAAACAATGTATTTACAGTGAAAGGTTAAGCATGTCAATAAAAAGCAAAGGTAGTATTTTAAAACACTCATGTTTTCATGGGTGTGCTATTCAGCTTTCTATACTCAGAGACAGTGACCAGTGTACTGGGCAACCACCCTGTAAAATTACAATACAATTACATAGATTTATATAAAATAATCTGTGCAGCATTTAAAGTCCTGTTGGATGCACCATGCGCTTCTGAGCCCTGTTGGGAACTAGATGACAACCTTCATTATGAAATGTATTCAGACTCTTACACTGTAAGAAGAGCATGGTTCTGTGTCTATACTTTAATGTTAATAGAAGATCTTCAGTGGTCAAGCGTTTAAGAAATTAGTCAGTTTTCACTGTAAAAGAAATTGCTCTGAATATCTCAGTTGATCACCAGGGTAACAAAGACTGAAGACCTTGCTCTGGCAAACATATGTCAGAGATCTGATCCATTCACAGGAAAGTATCTAAATCTTTATTTTTAAAGTCAATGACAGACAACTCAGCTTCCTCATAATCCAACTATCCCCTAATATTATCTGGTATTAAAAATCTTTATTTTTTCCTATATGAATTTGTTTTGCTTCAGCATCCAAATTTTGCGTTTTCTTTTGTCTTTTTCTTCTATATTTATGTGATAAGTAACATAAAAGATAACTTCTAGGTATTTTCTGTTATAAAGTCACTTAACTAAGTCCCAAATAATTTATACATATAAAGATTATTCACTTTCTCACTATAAACACTGCTTTCTCAGATCTACTTTGAAATTTATTCTAGCACCAAAACAAATAAAATTAAATGCTCACAGAAATATTGTCTCTCCTTTTTAAATCTGACTTTGCTAAACATCAACTTTCCTATAACCATTAAATCACAACAGCTAGCTTTCTGTGTATGAAGAGGTAGCTCGTGTCCACACAAAGTCTTAATAACAGACTTGGATACTTCAGTGACAGAACCTCCACTCCTCAACTTGAGGCTGTTTCCTCTTGTCCTATCACTTGCTACTTGGGAGAAAAGACCAGCACCCACCTCGCTACATCCTCCTGTCAGGTACTTGTAGATCCCTCCACATAAGGTTCAAAAATATATAATTTAGACATGAAAAGCCTTGGAGAAGCCTGATCATATTGTATACTCCTAAACACTGAACTGCAGGCATTTCACCAGTGGTATTTTATATTCCATTCCAAACTGATCCCCATCAACACTAGGACAAAATCCAGTGCAAGACTTTCGTAAACAGCATTATCTAGCAATGATTCCACATTTGAACTACATTTAATATCTATTCCTCAAAAAATAATTAATAAATAATACTGGACTATTTTTAAACACTCTGTGCTTATCATTTACAATTTAATCCTTTTTTTCAGTAAAATATAAATGCAGAAATATAGTACTAGTTTTCTACTTCTTCCTTCTTCCATGCCAGACTGTAGAAGTAACAGCTTGATAATACATGTTCCCTCAAAGAACTGATATTTATGTGAGAAGAAAATGAAACAAGTGGGACTCTGCGAAGGCGAAGGACTCCAAGATGTTTCATATACCTTTCTAAGTCTTCAGAAAGACAGTGAAATAATTTGATACAGCATGTGCTGAAAGATCCAAAGTGGTATCATTCTGCCTGCTTGAAAACAGTATAAAAAGTTGACTTTGTCTCATGCAGATGTACTATCCAGACTTTGACCTGATCCCATTCACAACACCCAGTCACTCTCTGAGATAGCTTCGTCAAGCTGCTTGACTTACTTACTTTAGTAAGCATAAGCTGAACATAAGCATGACAAATAAAAGTTTTAAATCTTAGACTTTGGAGAACATTATCTAGATGAAAATATAAGCAATTTCTGAATTTTAGGGAATGCATACATGCAAATGGAGGAAATGGTATTCCTGTAAAATACCAAGGAAAAAAATAAATCAGAGTAGCATATACATAAGGCCCCAAATAAAATCTTTGAATTCTCCAGTAGTCATGCAGCATTTTGAAAAGGTTTACTAGCAGATAAAGGGCAAATTAATTATTTAATAATGTTTTATGTCTACCTGTCAATTGATTTTGAATGGTCTAGTGTGTTGACCAGGTAGGTTCTTCTGTGTCAGTACCAAGGCAGGTGGTG